AGGATAGACTGTCACTGGTATATGGTCTAATGCAACAGGAGAAACACAGTATCGCCTTTGGAGAGGCAAGCGTCATCGGTCGAGTCAATGACAAGATGGCCAGACTGGTGCTCGAAGTTGGTCCTCAGTTGGCACAATAAACAAGACTATTGACCTTCATTCGGCCTATCAGGCGTTACGCACAAGGTTCCAGTCAATCCAGACCAAGCCGACAGCACTGACGAATGAGTCGCAGGTCCTCCAGCAGTTGTCACGCTCACAGCTGGGGGAACGAGCTAGCCAGAGATCACATGACCGACGCGAGAAATCGACCCACGGACGCGCGCAAACAGCCGGGGGTAATTTGCACATGCGTCTGTGCGCAGGTTTGTGTTTCCGGTCCCAGCTGGTGGTCAGGGTTATGATTGGCTGAATGAAGGCAAACAAGCCCGAAACAGTGCTGTATCAATCTACCCCCCAGACTCTGTCGTATCCGCTCTGCTATCATAGCTTGGCGGACTTCGGCCTGGTAGGTGGTTGCCTGTTCGTGACCCCTATCGCCCATACGAAGCTTGTTTGCTTCGGGAAGCCAATGGATCGGTGTGCGCCCATTCCTGAGTGAATTTATATATATATATCCCGTTCATCATCCCCCGAAGAAGACGAAGAAGAAGATGGGGCGAATTCATGGACCGAGTTATATTTGTACTGACGTTTCGGAAACCCTCTCGTTTCCATCATCAGAGTAATGCGTTGACTGTTCCTGCTGGTCTTGATTGCGTCAGCCTTGATACCTGCCTGGTATTATATCCGTGCGCGAGGCACGTGTCAGAGGCGACGGCAAGAATCCTGAAGCCTTTCGGGATCGGAGTGGCTCATAAGCCAGAGTCAACAATCAGACAGCAAATAATGAGACCCAAAGACCCGCTACCGGTGACAGAACAATCAACGGTGGTCTACAGCATACTATGCCAAAACTGTGATGCAAGGTATGTTGGTGAAACGGGCAAACGTCTTGGCACAAGATTGCATGAACACCAGCTTGCAATCAACTGCAAGGACAAGCTGTCTATGGTTTATGGCCACAATTTCGCCTTTGAAAAGGCAAGGGTAATCGGCCGAGCCAATGATAAGATGGCCAGACTGGTGCTCGAAAGTTGGTCCTCGACTGGCACACTCAACAGAGCCATAGATCTGCATCCCGCCTATCAGGCGCTTCGTACAAGGCTCGAGTCAGTGCGAACAAGGCCATCAGGACAGTCGAGCAAAGTGACGCGTGGCCGACAGCCGATGTCAGCAGAAAGTGGGAGAGAAGCCGGCCGGGGATCATGTGACCAGCATGCGACGCCACCTCACCGCAACACCCACGAGGCTGAGATTAACTCACATGAGCCCCAACAACTGTTCAGTCCGTTGAGTGACGAGGGGGAGGCCGACAAACATGCTGGCTCACCAACAATTACGACGGCCGAAAAGGGGTCATTAGTGGCAGGAGCCCACCGGCGGTCAATCGTGGAGAGGTCAACGCTAATCGGCGGCGAACGGGCAGGTCAAAGTTCGTGCCTCGCGCACGGATATAATACCAGGCGGGTATCAAGGCTGACGCAATCAAGACCAGCAGGAACAGTCAACGCATTACTCTGATGATGGAAACGAGAGGGTTTCCGAAACGTCAGTACAAATATAACTCGGTCCATGAATTCGCCCCATCTTCTTCTTCGTCTTCTTCGGGGGATGATGAACGGGATACAATATCTGGACCTCGAATCTTTACCCATATCAATATATATATATATATATATATAGGAAGAATGGAATTACGAACAAAGACAAGTGAGACTGGAATGGCCATTTCTGACTTATGAGATGTCGTCAGCCAGTCACACCCAACCCCGAAGTTTGGAACAGAGGGGGAGGAGGTCGGTCCCGCGACCTGCTGGTAGGAAGTCCATCGCCTCTAACCACTGAGCCACGAGCTCGTTGCCCTGTCGGTTGCATCGGAAATGAACAAAGGGTAACAGGTCGCGCGACCGAGCCCCAGGCGTTTTACACTTCTGGTTTGGGTATAGCTGGCCGATGACGGTTAATAAGCCAGAAATGGCCATTCCAGTCTCCATTGTCTTTGTTGGTAATGCTATTCTGCATTGATATACATGTTTGAAGACCTTTACCTTTACTGAAGCTGTGTACGAACAAGCCAAAGGTATACCGATGGGATCGCTGTTTTCCAGCTTGATTGCTGAAGCAGCGTTACAACGGCTGGAAGTCCTGTTGTGGGAGCGGTATGTTGGTGGCACATCTTTCATTATCATGTGGGACACCATTGGTGAATTCTCGAGACATCTGAATTCCATCTTCCCAGGCAAAAGATTGCCAGTCGCCATTTCTCGACGAACTGGTCCACTTAAAAGGCGATGAGGAACAGAAAACAACGGTTTACAGGAAAGTGACGAATACGTGTCGTATTCTAAGTTCTCTTTAGTACAAACGCGGCTAGGTGAGAACACTCTACCCGCGCATGCGTTCGTTTTGCGCCCGCCCTGCTGTGAACATCGTCGACAACGTCGGTCGAACCCTAATTGTATGCTCAACTCAGCGACGAAGTTTAAACTGTTGTCCCTTTGTGTACATCAATCAGTGGCATCAAGGAGACGGTTGTGATTGGACGACCGACGCCAAATTCATCTAACACAGTCGAAACGACTATTTTCAACAAACCCTGCCATAGGGTCTTATGTGTGAATTACAAGCTCAATCGAATGACAGGGGCAAGATTTTTGGGAACGAACTAGCTCAATTAGTAGATCGAGGTTTCATTTAATTGTTTGCAAGGGCGGTCCGTTCTCTAAAGACAATGAGACGAAAGTTCTTCTTCTTCTTCTTCTTCTTCTTCTTCTTCTTCGTCGTCGTCGTCGTCGTCGTCGTCGTCGTCGTCGTCGTCGTCGTCGTCGTCGTCATCATCATCCTCATCATCATCATCATCATCATCATCATCATCATCATCATCATCATCATCATCATCATCATCATCATCATCATCATCATCATCATCATCATCATCATCATCATCATCATCATCATCATCATCATCATCATCATCATCATCATCATCATCAGCAGCAGCAGCAGCAGCAGCAGCAGCATCATCACCACCACAATCACCACTATCACCGCCGCCGCCGCCGCCACCATCACCACCACCCTCACAATATCATTATCATCACCACCGAGCCAGTCCCTCCCGGTGATGCAGACTTTTGATAAGGCAGACCAGGAGCGACAACTCCGAAACATACACTGCGGAGCTTGTTTAGACGCCTACGATTCTGTCCAGAATCCCAGCTGACGTACAGATAGGATCGCAAGGCATGACAGGTAGAGGGGGGGGGGTGGGACAAGGCCGACTCCAAGTAACTTGTCCAGATTTCACGAGACGGGATGCATGTTTGTTGATTGTTTTTGGGGTTTTCAGACAACTGTCACGTTATGCCAGCCAGTTGCGACACGTGATTCTCTGCAGCCATAACACACCCAAACTAACCTCCGGGAGAACTCAAATATAACAGATGTATACGTGTGCTTTCGATGGCTGTAAAAGACAGCCTTCCAAGGTGTGATTGAAAACAAGATTGTCTGTCACGATGTCATTGTTATGAAGAATGGGCGAATTCTAGAGTTTGTTGTGAGACTCAGTTCAACAACCCACGCACGCTGGATGCCGCACCTACCGAGCTTCTGCAACCGCGCCTGCCAGCTGCGTTCAGTTACTGTCGATTGATAACAACTCAGCGGACTTCAAAGGTTCCTACACTGAAATCCGCAAGAATACGTATTGCTTTCAACGTTGGCCAGTCCCATTACCCAACGCCTATTTTTCTATTCGATAGCATATTTAGCCGTAGTGTGGTATTACCGACAAAGACATGGGAGACTGGAATGGCCATTTCTGGCTTATTAGCCGTCGTCAGTCAGTCATACCCAAATCCGGAGTGTGGAACACCCGAGGCTCGAACTCGCGACCTGTTAGTTAGAAATCCACGCCTCTAAACACTGGGCCACGAGCTCGTTGCCCTGTCGGTTTTGATCGGGAATATACAATGTTAGAGATGGGCGCTCACCGATCGTTCTTACGGAACTCACTCGTTCCGTTGTGCCTTACGGACTCTCTCTCTCGAGCCCAACCAGCAGCCGCACAGCGGCGCACGACTAACGCAGGACTGGTTGGGTAGAAGTGTGTAACACATTATATAGGTGGGGTATGACTGGCTGACGACGGTTAATAAGCCAGAAATGGCCATTCCAGTCTCCCTTGTCTTTGTTGGTCATACCGTACTGCCTATATCATGAGCTGCTGTGCGGCTGCTGGTTGGGCTCGAGAGAGAACCCGTAAGGCACAACGGAACGAGTGAGTTCCGTAAGAAAGACCGGTGAGCTCCCCCTAACATTATATTTAACAGTATTTGTCAGTGTTTCCTAAGTCTCCACAGTTGGAGAATGCGGCATTACCATTTCTACTGCGAGCAATAAGCGCCTGAACTGAAGGGATCTTGTCAACAGACATTTGTTTACGTTAACGCATTCGATTCATGCAGCATTTTACACAAGGAGATTATCGGTCTCCCTGATATGTACACCTGAGGGCAAAAACCATTTGGCCAAATTTGGGAGGAGGAAAAAAAGGATACAAGGAGTCAGTTAATTCAGCCACACAAAACCGTGGGCCATCAAGATGAGAACGAGCCATTCACAAAGGCGTTGCAGACGGGCTCCACACTGAGGTCGATTAATAGACCAACCGGGCAAGATGGAGGATTCTAAAACGAAGAGGATGATGGTTGACCCTGTTAGTAGTGCGTCTGAAAGATGCAAGTAAATAACCCCTTTATTTAAATCAAAATGCCCCTCTAAATGTCAAGCGGAGTAAAGTAACACCAGTTGCGTGCCGGAATAGCTTATCTTCAGTATGCCCTTTTGTCTGTAGCAAACAGATGCGTTTCATTGGATTTTGTCAGATGTGGCGATATTACTATCGTGTCAAAATAATCCGGGATGTGCGGTCGCAGAGACCTACGCTTTCCTTTCCACATTATTCAGCAGCTGGTAGGACACATGGGAATATGGACTCCCCATATCACGGGTGGCCTTGCACTAAGTACCAGGAGGGTTACGTGGGTTAGTGTTAAGGCAGACGTTAGGACACGGGTAGTGGTACTCCCCGAAATTTAGCGCAAAACCACCTGAATTATTGGGGGGGGGGAGGTCCGTATTCCAGTGTCTGGTCAAGTACCTGGACGAAGAACCGCCACTCCAAATGTCAAAGACCTTTGACAAAGGCTGCGGTTAAGAGGGGATTTTTGTTGATTGCGTAGAAGGGAGACTGAATCATTACTTTAGTGATGAACACACGGGTGTTCAGCCTTCTATCCGCACTTCCATAAAACTCCATTAATCTTGAGCAGTGATAAAGCGTTTACTGCCGGCTCGATCCCAATCCAGCCTAGCTTTCTCTGGATTAAAGAAAATGGCGGTGTGATTTTAGGAAAGTGGCGTTGTGCTGATTGGTTCAGACAGGTGGAAGGAGGGAAGAGAATAGTCAAAGCTAATCAGCAACACTTGGTCAAGGTCGAGACGGACACGTTTTAGCTACCTCAACAACCATCAAAATGTGCATATATGTAGGCCTGACGAGAATCGATCGTAAAAAGGGATATGTTTGCCACATCGTTCTCTGAATTTCTCAATGGAGATTTTGGCAAACTGACATTGCTGATCCTGTTTTGTCGCCAGAGATGAGCAAAAATTACACTCATAAAGACCATTGTGAATCAAAGGAAATTGCGGGGTTGACTGCTCTGAAGCTTCTGAAAGCGGTGATTATGGAGATATCAGGGATTAAAACAAATACTGTGATGCCTAGTCGGTAACAATCGGGAGATGGCACCCAAAAAAATCCACCTAGCCAAAGCAGCCTGTCTTACGGGACAGGTGGTAATAGGGGTTTTATGGGTGGTGGCAGGTCGGTATGTAGGATACTAGCCGACGGAAAGCCTTATTTGAACAGGAGAATGATCGAAGTTGGCCCGCTCTCCGTTCCGTTATTACAAAATGGGTCGCCAAAGGCAGTATAGTGGTAACAAACGAGTGGAAGGCGTATGATCGTCTTCCCTCAGAAGGTTATCTACATTTCTCTGTTAACCACTCGAAGAACTTCAAGGTCCCTACCACCAGACGGCACCCCAATGCCATTGAGGCATACTGGAGTAGACAGAAAAGAAAACTCCACGAGGGAGGCCCTGTATGTGGTCGAGCTGTGTGGGCTCACATAGACGAAGTACAGTATGGTCTTTGGTTTGGCCTCAATGCCATGTCTTTGACAGATGCCTGGGAACTGTTCCTGTCCCATGTTATGCAGACTTATCCTATTTAAAAGTGTTTTTGTTTTGTAATAAACTGCCATAATGCGAATGTATGCCGTATATTCAGGTGTACGTGTGTAAAGATGGCGAAGGTTGGGTAACAGCGACCATCGTCCATGTAACCTCCCGCGATGTTCGTTCGGCCAGCCCATATTAGGCCGTCGTGGAAAGTCCAAGTAGTGCGTGAAAAAGGCCTGAAACCGCTGATATAGCCTGAAGACGTTTGAGTCCACTGTTGAAGGTATAATTTCTAGGTGACGGATTTTTTGGGTGCCATCTCCCGATTGTTACCGTCTAGTCAGCTATTAGTTAAGGCGACTGTCAATTATAGGTGATGCTTTGACGGCTGCTTTATCTTAACTCGTGACGGTAGTGCTTCGAACCCAATTCTCCTAGCTCACTTTCAGTTAGCATTAAATTACTAACAGTGCCAAAAGGCTACATGTGGCAAATGCGTGTCTATTTCTCAAAAGAGATTCGAAAAACGTATAAATATGTCCGCCTACTATCTCCTTTCGATAGAAATAATCCTAAGTTAAACTGGACTCAAAGATTTCCTTGGTTGAGAAGTTAGGGAGGATCAAAGAGAGGTCAGACATCTTCCTAGCGAAACCAAAGAGCGTAGAGGTTCGGCAAATATGGAACTTCTCTAAGCGGGAGGCCAAATCACTACTGCATGAGTGCCAGGGTAAGTTTTCTACGGTAATTTTCGTTAACTGCACGCAAAACCATAAAAAAGCCTAGTTCAGAAGATGAAGATGCGATCACTGGAACAAGAAATTTATTAGCCTGACGTTTCGGATTCTCACTCGAATTCATCCTCAGAGACATTCGCAGATAAAGGTAATGGTGGCACCAGGAGTGCAGTATTTATAGCACGTGGCTGCCGTGGACCGTATGTGCATTGCTATTAACAGTTCTCGCAATCACCGCTGGGGTCGTAATTGATGCGGCAGTGGTTTGTCGGTCCGAGTCCGAGTCGTTAATTGCCGTGATTTCGTCATCCGTGCTGGATGCTGGTGTGACGATTGTTAAGGAGCCCTCGGATCATTCGCCGGTCGTGCTGAAGTACTGCGCGTCTCGCCAGCTCTGTGTTGACCAGCACCGCATCAATTACGACCCCAGCGGTGATTGCGAGAACTGTTAATTGCAGTGCACATACGGTCCACGGCAGCCACGTGCTATAAATACTGCACTCTTTGTGCCACCATCACCTTTATCCGCGAATGTCTCTGATGATGGATTCGAGTGAGAATCCGAAACGTCAGGCTAATAAATTTCTTGTTCCAATGATCGGATCCTCGTTTTCTGAACCGTAACCTAGAACTCGCCTGTTCGCTTCTATCAGCAAAAAGCCTAGTGTTGGCATTGGCCATGAACGGCGCTGTCATGAACTCCGAGAAGCTGATAGTTTTATAAATATTCATTTTCCACAGAACCAAGTTTCTCACGAAATCAGAAATGAAATAATAAAGCACAGAAAAAACAGATGTGAGTAGTCGGATTACTAGCAGGTCTTAAGCTGGATCCTAGGAAGGGCTCTGCCGGTCGAATTCTAACTTCTCTATCGAGTTTACGAGCATAAACAGACACTTAGAGCCCCTTGTTCACCGACAGTTCGCTGTGGCCGGCTAACTTAAGCGAGAGCTTGTGATTACCACGGTCGGTCATGACGTCCCGACCCTCGAGAGGAAGTCCTTTCCAGCAATTTGGCCACTTTGGACATTGCTACTGGGCACTGTCACTTATTACGAATTCATAGTTGACTGGTGACGGATCCGAGCATAATGCGTTGCAGTAAGGATAATTTTTTCCGAGTTGCAGGTAATAAAAAAGTGTAACTGTCGCAACAGCTTGCTGCAAAAATCCCTGAGGACAAACCGGTTAACAGAAATTCCTTAGTTGCGCTTCCGAAGGTGTTTTGTGCGTAGCAGGAAAACTTCTTGCCCAGGTCCGCTGCTGTGATTGGCTCAAGGGACAGGGCCAGGAATGTGTTGAGCCCGGCGTCCAAGTAGACAATTCTTCGACTAGAATAAAAAGACTTACTTGCTATTATAAGTAGATAGGTATAATTGGTGTTTAATCGTAAGTGTCGGAGTAGTCATAGTAAGATGATTTCAGGCGCTAGAGGCAAAAAACTGAGCTACTTCTCAGCATTTTAACCTCTTCAGAAATTAATGGGTTACCTTGGAGTAGATCCTTAGCTACAGACTTCTTCTAACGAAACTAGTGTCTGGGCTTTTAGCTAGTAGTACCTGTACTGCCAATACAGTGAATCTCGCAACATGAGCTTATTCCCTTCCACAGAATGGCTACACTGTGGTCTACTTTAACATCCGAAAGTATAGCAAAAAAGCTTTTGAAATCAAATGGCCAATTTTCACTTTCCATTTATTAATGGAGGTTAGTCCGCTTTAACACTGCAGCGAGATTAGTTGGCCAACCGTAACCAATTTTTCCACTTTGTTCGCTCGTGCTAATTAAGTAACTAGTTGCACCCACATGATCCCCACGGAAATTTAGTTCTTGAATTAAGCGCGCCGTTCAGCAATAAAAGAATCAGCACTTTTGCGGGCTTCGAACCGCGATGCTGAGATTTTCTGACGCATAATTGTCCTGCTTCAAAATAAAAGTGCGGTTTCCTCCTTTGTCAATTTGGTGGCGACTCCTTGTTAGCAGGCAAACCATACTTTACGTTATTTTATTGTGTTTATTTTCACAATGGTGGGTCCACCATATGGTCTGGGATATCAGCCGTCTCCCTGAAGACGCTGGAAATGGGCGCTTATAAGGGTGACAAGTATTTTTGCGTACGGCGAAAGACAAGCGAGACATAGAGTGCAACGATCCCCGATTACAAGCGAGACTAGCAAGACATAGAGTGCAACGATCCCCGATTAAGAGGGGAGGGGGGGGGAAGCGTGAATATTCATAGTCATGCGATAGCATGGCGACTGCATCCTATAAATACTGCAGCCTCTTCGGCATGAACTACCCGTATCGGCCTTTTTTCTGATGATGGGTTAGAGCAGGAATCGAAACGTCAGGATAATAATGGTCTTGTCCCAGCGATCGTGTCTTCCTCTTTATGACTGCCTCCTGGGACTCGTCTCTTCGCTTCTGTTGGCAGTCTACTGCAGTCTCTCTTCTTCTTCTTCTTCTTCTTCTTCTTCTTCTTCTTCTTCTTCTTCCTCCCCCTCCTCCTCCTCCTCTTCCTCCTCCTTCTCCTCCACCTCGGCCCGGTGTCATGACAAATTCAAAAGGACCTGAGGTGGGAGATGGCGCAGGTGGCTGGCACGGTCGGAGCCGCCCTTAGGTGTGCCGCTACGTCCGGCTCGGATAATAGGGAGTGGGAGTGCCATAGAGGCCACATCAAGAGGAAGCCATTGCTGTCTAAGTCTTAGTCCGCCAACCCGCTATTCTACACAAACACACACCGGGCTGACTGAGAGGTCAGCCTTCCAAGTCACGCCTTTTAGCGCTCCGTGATAAATTCAAGCGCGTCAGATTGTTTATAGTTATACCATACGTTATGGTTATATTTACACTCGCAGGCGTTTCCTGGTGGACACCGGAGCCCAGATCAGCGTGGTTCCCCCCACTCCAGTTGACCGCCGCTATCCCAGCCCTGGTCTACATCTCAAAGCTGCAAACTGTTCCCCCATTTCCACTTTTGGTAGTCGTTCCCTAACGCTAAACATTGGTTTACGTCGATCATTCTCCTGGATTTTTGTGATTGCCGATATGCCTCATGCGATCCTTGGTTCCGACTTCCTAGCCGAGTTTGATCTCCTTGTTGACTGTCAGCGTTCCTGTCTCCTCGACCGCACAACTGGTCTTTCTGTTCGCGGTCTTACACTCTCTAATGACTCCTGCAATTTATCTGTTCTGGACACAGGTATTGCTTGCCCATACCGAGACCTGCTCCTCCAACACCCCAACATAATCAAACCCCAGTTTCGCAGTGGTGAGATCCAGCATGACGTTGTCCACCACATTCGCACCTCTGGCCCCCCAGTTTTCGCACGGCCTAGACGACTGACTCCGTCCAGTATACTTCCTCTTCCTTCTTGTTCGCAGCACCAAACTGCAACCTCTTCCTCCACCCTTAACTTGTCCACTACAACACCTACTCAGCTGCCTCCAGCAGTGCCTCCCGCATATATCATCCGCAGTGGACGTCACGTTCACTTTCCCGATTGTCTACTTACTCATTTCTCCTAGACCTTTGTATGTCCTCCGGCGTCGTTCACGCCGCCCTCCGGTCTCGGAGGGGGGGGTACTGTGCTGAAGTACTTGACTACTTGACCTTTGACAATCTTGTCACGTTTGTTTTACTGTAGCATTTGTTTTAACGTGACGAGTACTCCGCCGCTTGTAAGCTTCGAGCCGCTTGCATGCTCTTTGGTCAGGTCGTTGAACATTTTGAATATTAACTTTATTCACTTACTGGCCTTCCTTACCTCTCTCCGTTTATGAGGTTAGTAAGCCGTAGTTCGTTAGTTCGCGGGAACGACATAACTTACGTCAATACCATTAATCGGTAATGCCTAATTGCGTTAGAAAAAGTTTACCGAACTTTGAGAAGTAACGTTTCGAGATATTCATTCGTCCGGTGTTGTTGCGACTTTAGTTCAAGTAATAGTTTTTCGAGTCTAAGCAATGCGATCGTCTCAAGCGACAGGGTTCAATAGTGGATTGATTCAGATAGTTCACGCTCAAAGCAAATAGTAGTCTGTTCTGCCTAATCAGTAGTGTCTCGTTACATAGGAAAACTCTTACTCATCCCTTGGAGGTAACGGTTCAAGACCTTGCTCCTCCCTGTTATGTAGCGACTTGAGTCAAGATAACTGCACTTCAAATTCCAACAGTTCGATCATTCCAGTCGCCGAGGCCCCCCACTGCTCCACTGCGCGGGCTCAGTCGTGGGCAGATCATACATATAAGTGTTCAGGCCTTTACCGGACTAGGGACCAATGACCGAAAGATGTCTCCGACGGAAATAGGAGAGCCGGAATGTCTAATTCTGACAAGCTGAACGTCAGTAATCAGCTACACCTCAACTCTAGGCTTTAGTGGGCCTGGTTTTTGAACTTGGGTCAACTGATTATGCCACTTCGAAGCCCAAAAGCTGTACGGTTTAAGCAAGGGGCCAACCTCCGGTCGGCTCATTCCCGGAATATTTAATCACATGAAAGTAGCATTTGTCGATTTAGGACTGATGAGATTAAATATACTGGGTTCTCTGGTGGATATCAGCGCCATAGGAGATTGTAACCAACATGACAGGTTTTTACGCTTTCAGTTGGTTGTTGTAGTATAAAGGGATAACGTCTTCTTAAAGAAGTTTTTTTCAAATTTTATACTTAAAGAAAGAGTATCTATAGATTTTGAAAAACTTCAATCCTCGAATACTTTTGAAGCCGACTTGACTTTACACTCTCATTCAGGGTTCCGAACTACAAGCTGTATAATTTTTATGCAAGGGAAACCATGTATTTTTTTATGTAGAGGACCTAGAGGACTCACCAAATTTTGTAATGGTTTTGAACCATGTTGTTCATAAACAACCTTAATATATGTGGTGGTGCAATGCTTTACGATCAGACTTTTCATAGTCTTGAGTAGTCTCGTAATTGAGACTTTTTAAAGACTGAATGTACTCCTTCTTTAGGTTGAGAATTTAAAGACGACGTAATTTGTTACCAAATTAGTAAAATAAATGATACTTTTTGCATGGTTTCTGTAAAATATATTTAAATTTATGGGGTCATTGAAAATCAGTGGGCAAAATTCATACTACTTAAATAGCCCTCATTTACAGAAAGTAGTTTACGCGTGCGGTCGATAAGGAATATCTTGATATTATGCGACACATTAATTAACATGAACCACCCTACTTTAGTAATCCATTTGATCTGAAAACGCATTTGAGAATTTAGGCGTAGGAGGCAGTGGGAAGCACAAGAAATTCCTCCCTTTTCTGCAAGTATTTTAACGGAAGCTGGTTATATGACACCGTAGTTGTCCAAACACGGTATTCTATGTCCCTTCTCATCGAAGAGCACTCCCGATGGCCAGCAATTTACAATACGTTCAACCTGTTCAGCATTAGGAATTCCCTACACGCGAGCGACTCCACTGAGTTCGCATCCATCAATCGAGTGGATTTCAGCACAATTTTGAAGAAATTGTTTAGGGATACTCGAGAGGTAGACTTACCCGGGCGCATTCTGGATCTGCTGACCTGTCTGATTGGTCCACTGGACCTGGGTCGACAAAGGCGCAGGATTGGCTGTGATTTCACAGAGAAGCTGAACGTTACAGCTGAACCGAGGTGCTGGTAGGACCGTGAAGATCCTAAGGTGAGGTGCATCTAAGAAGAAATAAAGGTCAGATCAATCAGCCGATAAATCACAAAGTGCTCTTAGCATTAAAAACAAGTCTAGGAGGCAGCCGAAAGGTGTGGACAGAGCGGAGTTTTAAAGTCTGTAAATAACACCTGCACTCATGCTGGTCCATGGAAGAATAGAAAACCTATGCCTTGGTCGCATATGGTAAAGTGCATTACATGTGCTATCTCATGAAATATTAGCCTAAAGTCTGAAATGTGTTTTCAATTAGATAAGTTTGTTAAAGTGGGATTTGTCGCATTAATTAACGTGCAACAAGATTCCAAGATGTTTTAGTCACATCAGAATGCCAGCTTTTGAATGAGCCTCTTTCTCTGCAAAAACGACGACGTAAGTAGTATGTATTTGTACCATTTCTTCTCGATGCCCTTAAAAATTCAAGTACATTTTATAAATGACATGCACAAAGTATTCTTTCTTTTACTCATTTGGTAGTAAATGACGCCATATCCGAATTTTATGCTTGAAGAAAGATTATCTTTCGGTCAAAGGAAACCTTTTTGGTTTCCGAATAATTTTGAACCCGACTTGCCGTTACACTCGCATTCATGGTTTCCAAACTACAGGCCGTATGCTTACCCTATAGGGAAAATCGTACGTTTGCACAAGCTATTAAGATGTCACCTTCAGTCAACTTCATAAGCATGATGATGCTATGTCGCATGATTGGGCACTTCGCTGTCTTAAAAATCCCATAATTATAAACTTTTTAAGCAGAACGATATTTCTTTGAGTAGAAGCCCTGAACTGCTACAAAACGAGTATAAGAAGTAATATCTTCGTGCATTTTTTTTCTATAAAATGCATTTTCATATATGAGAGCAACTTAAGTCACTGAGGGAACTTCATAGTACATAAGTGCTCGTCACTTATGGAGTTTTGTTTTCAAAGATGGTCAGAAAGAAGCCCATTAATAAGTTGGCATACGTGACAGAAATATCTCTTGATCATGCTGCACAGTAACTTGTATTCCAACTCTACTTAGATAATCTCTCTAATCAAAGCGCATTTCAGAATTTTGGTTGACATTACATGAGATTGCATCTCTACTGTACCTGCAACTGTAAAACTCTCACGCCTTAATTTCAATGTCTTTTATCTTATTTAAAAAAAGAGGAACAGCATTATATAGTTCTATGTTGCGTTTATTCATCAACAATCGCAGGATATTTTGGTTCCAATTTCAACTCGCCCTTTCGTGTGCAGTGCATTACATCCACTGCCATTATGGACATCAAGACAGAAGAACGTACGTCGGACGTAGAGTCGTACAGGCCAGTACGCGTTTCCGAGGTTGTTTTGAGCCGTGCACATATACGTACCCGCATCTTCAGGAAGAGCTCCAT